AAGACGTATGGTTATCAATTCGGACAGTGAAAGCGATTCAGTAAAAGATTTTGTCCTACAAAATTTACCTACTTCTTCAAACACGTACACAAAATGGAAGAACCCTACTGGATGCACTGCTCGAGTGATACCCTTCACTGAGCCCACAGGTATGAAGTTTCCTTTTTCAAGAGACTTAAGTCAAGGAGATCCAGAGGATTTTTATTCTTTGTTAGTTGACGATTCCTTGTTTGAAATAATTGCTGAACAAAGTAACCTGTTTGCTACGCAAAGCTTTGGAGATAAAGATTTCAAGCCATGTTCTCGCTCACATACATGGCAGCCAACCGATAAGCATGAAATAAAACGATTTTTTGGACTAATTTTATTCATGGGCCTTGTGAAATTGCCATCAATTAGTGATTACTGGAGTACAGATGACATATTTCAACAACCGTTTCCTCGCACAGTGATGACTAGGAACAGATTTGAATTACTTTTACAGTACCTACACTTTGCCGACAATTACAACTTGAATCCGAACGATCGCATTGGAAAAATCAGGTATCTTGTGAATTTGTTAAATGATAAATTTAAAGCCTACTATGCCCCTAAAGAAGAACTGTGTGTCGACGAAAGTATGATTCCTTTTAGAGGTCGAGTCACTTTTCGACAATATAACAAATCTAAAAGGCACAAATACGGTATAAAATTGTTTAAAGTTTGTACAAATCCTGGTTATACTTTAAAAATACAGGTATACAGTGGAAAAAATATTGATATTGAGAATAATACCCCTACAAAAATAGTATTATCCCTGTGCGATGAACTCTTGAATAAAGGCCACACCATTGCCACTGATAACTGGTACACCAGCTTGGAACTGGCGTACGAATTACTAAAAAACAATACACATTTCCTGGGGACAGTGAGAAAGAACAGAAAGTACTTGCCTAGGAAAGTAGTAGAAACTAATTTAAACCGAGGTGAATTCGTAGCACAAGAAAACGATTGTGGCATCACAGTATTAAAATGAAAAGATAAAAGAGATGTTTTAATGCTGTCTACAAAGCACACGGACAAATTTACTCGATTAAATGTCAGAGGCAAGGCGGTGCAAAAACCAGCAATGGTTATTGATTATAACAAATGTAAAGCTTCAGTCGACATGAGTGATCAGATGACAGCTTATTCAACTCCACTGAGAAAAACTGTCAAATGGTATAGAAAATTGGCCATAGAATTGCTCTTGAATACAGCTGTGGTAAATGCGTTGATAATGTATAAGGAAACCACTAAGAAAAATATTTCGGTAGTAGATTATAGAAAAAATCTCGTTCAATATCTCACTAAATCAGGACGTCCAGAAACAGGTAACTTGGCACTTGAATTACGTCCAAAACGACGAAAACATGAACTTGTCAAAAAAGAGGGACCTGTACGCAAAATGAGACGATTTTGTGTCGGCTGTTACAAGAACAATGTAGAAAAGATGTCGAGAAAAGACGCAAAAAATAAGACCCTGAAAGTGCCTACCTATTGTTTGCAGTGTGATGGTCAGCCACATTATTGCCTGCCATGTTTTAATAGAGAGCATCGAACGTAATTTGGACAATAATTTTTGTTTGTAATATTTTCAATATAATAACTTTTAAATTACTATCTAAATTGTTTTGTGAGCCTTTCTATGACCACGTGTAAAATATTGATATTTCTTTGTGATTGATATATTATTATGTTATTAAAACATTAATACTGTAAAAGATTTTTGTATCTTTTGAATCTTAAAACTACGATATTTAAAACCAAATTTTATATGAAACATTTTTTTTGCGTATTTTTCCCTACTTCTCATAATTTAGTACCTATTTTCTAAATTTTACTAGGCAGGTGTGTCCCACTGCAAAGGATTGCTCTCAAGCACCGCGCCGGTCACTCACATAGGCGAAATAAACGACACGCGTGACCGGTAGCGCAAAAAAGCACTTTAAATTTAGATCTCGCATGTGGTCACCGGTGTCCCCCATGGCGCAATAAAGCAACATACATGAGGTCACCGGTGCCCCCCATGGCGTTTAACGTGTTAAGGTACTCTTTTGCTGTCCTCATAATGAAATTTTTTTAATAGGATAGGGTGACAAACGAGCACACAGTCCACCTGATGGTAAGTGATTGCTGTGGCCCATAGACATCCACATCTATCCTCGACTATGAATCAAAATGCAGATGCGTTGTCACCCGTGAGTGCTAAGATGAAATGCCCCATTTTCAGTAAAAAGGGTCTCCTGTTCTCTACACTCACCATATGAAACACATCAGCATTAAGCTACTATTTGACGCTGGTATTCTGTGAGAGCATGGTCCTTTCCCGGTCGAGCCGACCCATTCGTGCTACAGCTATACCACTAATATAACTGCAGCATGGCTCTACCATGTATAAGAAATTAGAAATAATGACGAAAAAGCCATTTATTACCAAGGATTTCTAAACCTTATTATAAAATTAGACTTATTTTACTTCTGCTAAACTAATTTAATTTTGTGGATAAAATAAACAAAAATACTTTTTTATAGTAATACTGTAGACAAAAACTGTCGCTCACACAAAATTTGTTTGTCCCTAAATGTAGGTTACTCTATATATTCTTAAAGTGATTAAATTTTTTGTAAGATTGAATAACACTGTTTAATTTGTAAATGTTTTTAATTACAATTAATTAAACTTCACTACAATAATATAATTACGATTTCATTACAAATAACGTAATTTATAAGAATATTTCAATTGTACCCAAAAACTATTGCGCATTGCCGGTCTTCTAAGTTACTAGTCTAAGTAGTTCATACTCGATCTGAGAGATGACGCTCAACTCTCCACAGCTATTGTTTTGTGTCTGAGAAATAGCTGGTAACATCTATAGAGGGGGATTTGTCTCGAGCTGCCGGTCAGTCCAGTCAGTCCATGGAAAGTGCTTGGAGAGGGTGTGTGGGTTTATTGTGTTTCTGCTACGTGACCATGTGATTCTGCGTAAGTATAACAGATATTTTGATTTAATTTACTTGCTGCCATGGAGTTTCGATCTAATTTCAAGATCAAAACACAAGTTTGTAGACTTGTTGAGATGTAAAGACTTTATTGACATCAATCCCTAATACTATTCATGTTATATTATATATTTTAATTTATCTTTATCAATGTAATTTTGTAATGAGACTTTGTGATATTATTTTTATGATTATACAAGATAATAATATTATTTTGATGTTTTGTATGCGAGACATGTATTTTTGTGGTTGAGTCGTAAATTTCTTATTTTCTTAGTTTTTTATAATAAAGTAAATTTCTTATTTTCTTAGTTTTTTATAATAAAGTAAATTTCTTATTTTTCTAGTATTTTTTAAAAATACGAAAATTTTAATAAAACTAATTGCACTCATGATTTTTTATTCAAATAACCAGTTCAGTTTTTTCTATTCCATCAATAAGATCTTAAAATATTATTTATGTTTCATCAGTATGTAATTTATAGATAGGTCAAACGGGTACTTTTCTCATATTTTACCAAAAACTTCTCAAGCTTTACCAAATGTTGCTTAATTTTAGCTTGAGTTTTTGTAGAATTGATCTTCTTGTTACATTTTTTTCTATAAATAAATGCTGTTTCCTTTGCATTTAAGAATGACTTCTTTATTGAATAAAACTATTATTTACAGTAGAATAATAATAAAAATAAATTAAAGTAATTAAACGCGATAAAATCCGTAAATAATAGTTTTATTCAATGTGTAGTGTTCGCGTAAATTTAAGAAATCATTATGACTTCTTTATTTCTTACAAATGTCTAATAGATGTAGAAGAAAATATGTCGAAAGATTTTTATTTTTATTTGATGTTAGTATTGCAGTAGAACAAAAAAGTAAAATGTTGGTTACATTTTTCAATTACCTTTTATAGTTTTTGTGCATGAAGGTAGCTTTTATGTATCAATAAATGATTTTTGTTGCAAAATACTCCAATTGGTTCTTATTTATTAAAAAGAAACATTTCTATAGACTTAATGCAAGAGAAAAATTTCAAGCCAGGCTGACAAAGTTAACTTAATAACTTAAAAAATAGAAATTTAATATCGTAGCCATTGACAGAAGTGAAAACTATGGTATATTAAACTTCATCTTATACAAGATTCCTTTTAATTTCAGTTCAAAAAAAATAAGTTGATTCTTACAAAATTTCAACAAAGGAGGTTCTTAAAAGTTGATTCACCCACATATATACATGTAAATAATTATAAATATATATGTCTGGTAACAATATAAATGACATGGACGATTCAGGTAAGCAGTTTTGCCTTAGATAATTACACACCAACTTTTTAAAAGCAAACTTATTGGGGGCTTTTGTGATGTCATCGTCTAAGGAGTTCTAAAGGCCAAAGTTCTAGACAAAAGGCAAAGAGTTATCCTGAACTGTAAAGGAGCTACCATATAACGGTAAAGGGAACAGGAATACATATTTTATTGTTAGAATAATGTAGAACGCTGTCATGAGATGAGGCTGTCATAAGCCAATTAAGCTTAGATCTATATTGGGAAATATGGTCTTACTTACGAAGCCCGAAAATAAATCCTATACATTTATTGGGAAGGTTTTCCAGCTTGTTCAGAAGATTCTGGGACAGATCCGGGTAACACACATGTACATAATCAACTATGGGTAATATAGGCGATTGGGCAAGCATGGTCTTAGACTTTGTGCGAAGAAAATGGTTTAAACAATACAGAGAAGCTAATGTAGCAATGATTTTACAATTCACTTCTGAAACCTGAGTTCTCCAATTCAGCGTGCTGTAGATGTGTAGGCCAAGATTTTTTACAGACTTACTGAATGCAATTGTAATCCCATTGTAATAAACAGGAGGTAAGTCTGCAAGAGTAATCTTGGCTAGCATCCAAGAGTAAACTAAGTAGTTATTTTTTATAGTTATAAAGGACCATTAAACCATTATTAAACTAAGAATTACCTCATTGGTTACGTGTTGTGTAATAGTTGGATTTCCTTGTTGAAGGACTTTTAGATAATCTTGCAAGAACTGTGTGTCATATTCAGGGAGTTGCTCTATAAGCTGAGATATGAAATCAATCAAGTCCACTGTTACAGGCAAAGATGTATTGTTCATTGGTTGCACACGTAGAGCATCTACTGCTGCTGCAAGTGCACCTTCTCCCTCTGAGCCACTGGAATCACTGTGTATCATCCGAGTATCAACTTGTGTTACTATGTCTGGTTTTTGATCATTACAGGCATGCAACTCTCGAAGTAATCTAAGTTCACGCTCACATTCCTCTTCGCGAGCACGTTGCGATGCAATAATGTCTGCTGATGGCATTGTGAATTCACTCTAAAAAAGGGCATCATTCATTAAGTTACTAAATAAAAAAATAAAATTTTAATTAATAACAAATAACCATCAAATGCTGAACATATGTCAGCTTGCAAGCTTTCAACATTTACTCGCAGCATTGTAATATGAAAGTTAAAAGAATATGAGCCGCGTTGGTAGCCCGTCATAAAAGAAAGTTAAAATCATAATTACCGAATTGTTACTCCGTGAATTGACTATAATCGGTGGTAATTCATCATCATATTCTTCTTCAATCATAATATTGGCTCTGAATTCTAGACAACAGGTAATTTATTATTACTTCATGTATCAATATAATACACTTTATTACATTACAAAGTAAGATTAGGACTTGTGAATGTGATAATAATATAATTGCTTGGTATTTTCAATTTGTAAGCAATAGACATCATCAACATTCCAGTTCATAATCACAACATGATCACAATCATAATAGATTACTGACTATGTACTAGAGAATCACAATTCAAAATCAAAATTGATCAAAATACACAAAAACAAATCGTTCGTTTTAACACTTAAACGTCAAATGCTCGAATGTCATAAAGTATTGACTCTCTAGTATACACACAGTAATCTATGGTATTGACTAGAGAAGAAATAAAGTTTATTGGTCTGTGAATTTGTTCAAAAGGACTATAAATCACGATACACACTATAAACTATAAATTTCTAGCGCGTTATTAAATACGCTATGTTATAGCGCGCTATTTATAAGAAAGCGTGTAGGAGGCCGGCAACCGCGTTAAGTTTTGCAGCACGCTATATCTCATAGCACGTTACATTACATGTCGTTCATTGGATAGACCGCGTGCTATATAAGAACATTATTTCGTAATAAGTCGCGTTTTAGACTATAATAAAATAAAGCGGTAAAGAAAAAGCAATGAACGCTTTTCCATACTTTTTAGGCTTACCTTAATATAAATTATAAATCAAATAAAGGTGTATTTTTTTTTTTTTATAGAAGAGGGGGCAATTACGAGCATGTGGCTCACCTGATGTTAAGTGACTACCGCCGCCCATGATCAACCGCAACACCAGGGGAATTGCAGGTGCGTTGCCGGCCCTTTAGAAAGGAGTAAGCTCTTTTCTTGAAGGTCCCCAGGTCGTATCGGTCCGGAAAAATCACCGGTGGTAAATTATTCCACAGAGAGGTTGTACGCGGAAGAAAACTCCTTTTGAAACGTACAGTGGTGGACCGCCAAGCATCCAGATGGTGTGGATGGTATCGGGACGTTTGCCGTGTAGTGCGTTCACGAAATTTGGCGGCTGGGATTAATCCGAACAATTCCTCAGAGCACTCCCCGTGATAGATGCGATAAAATACGCAAAGAGATGCAACATCTCTTCGCAGCGCCAGTGAATCGAGCCGATCGGAAAGCACTCGGTCGTCAACGATTCGAGCCGCTCTGCGCTGGATGCGGTCAAGTGGAAGGAGCTGGTACTGGGGAGCCCCAGCCCAGAGATGGGAACAGTATTCCATGAGCGGCCGAACCTGCGCCTTGTAAAGTTGCAGGCGGTGTGCCGGCATGAAATACTGTCCCGCTCTGCTGAGCACGCCAAGCTTTTTTAGAGGCCAATTTGGCCTTCCCTTCCAAGTGACCACGAAACTGCACGTCACTCGATATGTCGACGCCGAGGATTCCGATACTGGCTGAGGCAACAAGGGGGAGTGCCTTGAAACTGAGGGGATACGACAAAGGGGTTCTTTTTAGCGGTTAACGCGCAAACTTGTGTCTTCTGGGGGTTAAACTGGACTAGATTTAGTCGCCCCCAATCCGAGACTCTGTCCAGCAGAGACTCGACTTCAGACACAAGTTTGTCCCGGCACTCAGAGACGTTTTCCCGAGAAATATTGGCTCGGCCGGTGTAAAGAGCATCACCAGTGCTGTCATCTGCATAGCAATGAATGCTACGGGTTTGCAACATATCATTGATATGCAGAAGAAACAGCGTTGGCGATAGCACGCAGCCCTGTGGAACACCAGCATTAATAAGCTTGCAATCGGAGCTTGCACCGTCTACAACGACCTTGATGCTCCGATCTGCAAGAAAACTGGTGATCCAATCGCACAATTTCTCGGGAAGCCCATAGGAAGGGAGCTTCGAAAGAAGCGCTTTGTGCCAAACCCGATCGAAGGCCTTCGCAATGTCCAAACTAACGGCCAATGCCTCCCCCTTGGACTCTACTGCCTCCGCCCATCTGTGAGTTAGGTAGACCAGAAGATCACCAGCTGACCTACCACGGCGAAAACCGTATTGGCGGTCACTAATCAGCTGGTGATCCTCAAGGTACCTCATGAGCTGGCAGTTTACAATGGACTCCATTGTTTTGGAGAACAAGGAGGTGATGGCGATAGGCCGGTAGTTGGACGGGTCTGAGCGGTCGCCTTTTTTAGGGATCGGGTGGACGAAAGCCGTCTTCCATGATTTTGGGACTACGCCTAGGGAGTAGGAGTACCGGAAAAGACGCGTTAAAACCGGTGCCAACTCTGGAGCACATGTGTATTTGAAAGTTTATTGATTTTATTTATATAAATCAACTATTTACATACACTATTATATACACTTATGTATCTATATTTTATTTACTGTTAATAACATTAGTTAGGCTTCTTTTATAGCAGACAACTGTGTCCTTTGATCACTTATAAATATACAGTATAACTACTAAACAACGTCTAACACTAAATTAGGTCGCGCGCTATATATAGCGTGCTACTAGATCAAATTTGCATTACACGTCCTCTCCCAACAGCGTTGCTGCTAGAACTAGTTGCCGCTAGATACTAATACAAATATAATAGATATTAATACTTAATAGCGCCAAAGCGCCATAGCGCAATACCGCCTTGGCGACTACTTACATAACCCACGCTATGTATTATAGAGAGATAGCGCGCTATAATTTGGTGCTATGCGCTATATTAACCACCATTACTGTGAATGTCATTTATGTTAGGTTTCTCTGTCTACGATTTATATCATAGACATAGATAAATTTGGCTTTTTATTATCGTCATCATCATCATTAAAGCCCACTAATGAAAACAAGCCTCCCCCAAAGAATACCTACTGACTTATCTTCACGCACAATCCCTAACGGGGTAGCCAGAGAGAACAGATCGCCAAGTGTCACGATCCTTACATACCTCTTTCGCTTCTTTCATGTTCATTAACTTCTTCATACATGAACGTCTAGGTATCCGAGTACTCTTGACCTTCCCCGAAAGAAAAAATAGAAAGAATACCTACTTCCAATAAAACCTTTTACAGACCATTCACAGCTTTCATCTGCCAAAGGCTTACAGTAGTTTTAAGTACCTACCAGTTTGGGTGTTATATCCAGTGGCGTAGCTATGCCACCAAGGGTCCCGGGGCAAAAAAGAAATTGGGGCCCTATTTGAACTAAACTAAAGAATTTTAATGTGCAAAACTATTTATTATGTAGTATGTGTAACGCAGCAGATACTATTTAATCATAATTCCTAATATATATATATACAGCCCAAACCAACCGACGTAGAAATCTGAAAATGATTATTTTCTTTTATAATGAAGGCATCCACTAAGAAGGGATCAAGAAAAATTGAACCTCTAAGAGGATGAAATAGGGTGTTACAGTTTGTATGAAACTTATTATTTTACGGGGCGTTTGACTTGAAATTTACTAACGGTAATCTGTATATTACGTCTTAGAGTCACGCTGCAGTTATATTTTGATTGTAGCACTAATGGGTTGGCTCGCCCTGGGTAGGACCACGCTCACTCAGAATAAAAAGTTAAAAAGTTAAAGTTACAGCCTATATACGTCCCACTGCTGGGCACAGGCCTACGCTCATTTCTGAGAGGCAAGGAATTGTCCACCGCGCTGCCCCAATAAGGCGAACTTCACATGACTTCGAAATATTTTTTTCTCATTTCTCAGACATGCAGGTTTCCTCACGATGTTTTCCTTCACCGCCGATCACGTAGTAAATCAGCACTTAAAAATGCAATAAACAATTTCATTGGTGCCGGCGGGGACCGAATCTGGTTTGCTCGCGAACTGTATGAAATCTACAGCAAGCGCTAACCATCTAAGCTACCACGGCGCTCTCTCACAGAATACCAGCATAAAAAAGCAGCGTAATGTTGCTGTATTTCGTATGGTGAGTGTAGAGAACTGGAGACATACTTTACTATAAACGAGGCAAGGGGTAACAACGCACCTGCTTTTTCATTCTTAGTTGAGAATAAAAATAGATGTCTATGGACCACAGAAAACATAAAATTGCGGTTGCCGACCCGCTCACCAAACGTGGCAACTATGGCAATATACCCCCCATTAGAGGCGACAACGCTCTCTTGAAGAACTAAAAACCGATTTCCCTTCTGAGCCACATCTACGTGCTGTTTTCGAGAGGCATTACGAATCGTCTCTTACGAATTTTCTATGTAGTAGCGTAGCGTGCCTCAGACGGGCCCTGTATCAAAATTTAATGGGAGGCCCAAATGAAGTGTAAAGATTTTTCACAAATGGAACGAAAACGCTGGCATTTCATTAGAATAATTATAAATTGATTAAAAGTTATTAAATACAGTTAATACCCCTAGGAACTGGTTTGTCATTGTCATTCACTTAAACAGGGGGATCCCGTAATAACTGATGTATGCTGACAGGCACGCGCTGCGGATTTAGTAATATGTGGTCGCGGGTCAATCGCGTAGTGAGATGACCTACTTTTGGACGCTCACTTGACCCGGGGAAAAAAGATACCTTTTTTTACTTTCATAATTTTAGAAGTGAAAACTTCTTTAAGCACGTTGGGCACATTTTATCATATGATTTTTTTCTCGGGATATATGGTACAGTACGACAGTAATTTAACCAATTCGATATATATTTATATAGAAATAATTTAAAATTAAATATTACAATTAACTATTTTACTTCTATTTATAAAGTAATTTATAATTTATATCAATTAATATTTTGTACACCACACTGAAGTCAATGGCGAAGTACATCACTCACCTTCGATTTGCCGACGATATAGTCCTTATGGCAGAATCGCTGTAGGACTTAAGAATTATGCTCAATGACCTCAATAGTGTCTTTAGATGAACGTGGACAAAACAAAAATCATGTTTAATATCCATGTCATACCTATGCCGGTAGTTGTTGGGAGCACTAAGCTCTATTTTTTCTGTCAAGAAATTCTCGGTAGTTGCCCGGAGTCGGGAAGTTGGCGGTGTCTCACCCCCATGCCTCGGAAAGCACGTAAAGCCGTTGGTCCTGCACCTGATCTCTCTCCGGTCGTGTCGGGTAAACCGTCGGATTATGAGAGTGAGGGAAGAGAGAGTGCACCTGTGCTTGCGCATACACTTGGGCACTATAATCCTATATTGCACCGATGGCTAGCCTCCGTTGAAGCATGCGGCCGTGGCCGAAATTCGGTCTGGAGG